CAATGTGCGATACGGTCGCGGCGAATACGCCCGCTGTGGCAAAGAAGGCCAAAAAGTGCGGCGTAGGCGATGCTTCGGGCACGCGCTTGTGCTGCTGGCTTGCCGCATACAGAGCCGCACCACCGAAACTCCAGAGCGCCATGTTGTTGAGTCCAAAGTGGATCAGCGTCTGGTGGCTAAACACGGAGGTGAGCAGCGTGCGCATGCGGCTGCTGCTGGGCCGGTGTAGGAAGTTGCGCATCATCCATCCTCCGCCTCGTCTGGCTGCCACGGTCCATGCTACGAACACGGCCGTGTTGAGCGCAACGATGGGCAGCACCACCTGCTTGGACGGCGCCAGATCCAGGTACGCCTCTGCACAAATAATGTACGCTCTTCCGATGGTTTCCGTGACGCCGGACGGAAGGTGAAGCTGCTCGCACCATCCCATGAGCCACTGCATGCGAACGCCGAGGCGTTCGGCCGTTTCATGCTTCTTGACCATCTGCAGCCGCTTTTCTGTCACGCCGCGTCCCCATATGCTCGAGCCTTCGTCGCCGGTGAGGTACGACGAGATGCTTCCGAATACATCGCGGGCTCCACGCAGCTCGTCCGCCACATGCTGCGTGTCGCGCAGCGAGTAGAGCGCTGCTCCACCGAGCGCCAGGGATGAGAAGCCGTAGAGGAAGAGCAAGGCGCGCGGGATCGATGGTGCCGATACGTCTTCGGGCGGCGGCGGGAGAGGTCCTTCCTCGTCGGAATCGGGCTGGCTGGCGGCTTGCCTCTGGATGACTGTCCGCGGTCGAATCGAAGCCAGAGGTAGGCGCGGAAGCTGTGCCAAGCTAGAGGCAGCGAGAGCGCGGCGTTGGAATGCGCAGTCGGCGCCCAGAGCCAATCGCATCGACGCGGGAGCGAGCAGCCTCGGTTGGAACGGTGTGGCCCCCCGAGTGACGCTGCGCAGCGAAGCCGCAATTCCAGGACGGAGCATGCCTGTGTCGATGCCTTACTTTTGCCTTGATCCCGAGCTTGCTCTTGATGTTGATGGTTGAGCGCCAACGACGCTCGACTCGTGGATCAGGTAGTGACACGCAGTGAGTGACACAAGGCGCAAGTGGACCCTGAGCCTTGGCCTTTGGCACCGCTCAGCCTCCACTCTCGAAAAAAAAGACTTAACTGTGAGATCGGTGGGTCCATTGTGGGTTAAAATTCAAGGAACCGACTTCCGGGCAAGAAAAGAAGGTTGGACGCCGCCCTAAAATCATGAATCCGACCCTTGAAAGCCTGAAGAAGCCTGCCGACGTGTCACACTTGGCTGCCTCGCTACCACCAACCATCACCACCTGCCGTCTCCGGGACTACAAGAAGCGGCCACACATCGGCATTCGTGGGCATACGTGCGCGTGTGTACTCGGCCCAGCGCCGCTTGTGCTGCCACGCTCGCTTCAAGTGCCACACATCCGCGCAACCATGCCTTCCTACAGGGCCGCACAGCCACCAGCCGCTCCACCGAGCACGAGCAAGGGCTTGGTATCGGTGATGCTCACGCCGTTCATGGCGCTAGCATTTGTCCTGCTGCACGCGATATACCAGCTCGCAATCCTGGCACGCTCCGTGGCATCAGCCGTCTCAAGGGCCACACGGCGCCGCTCACACCGACCTGCGTCGTCATTCGCATCGCTTGCGGAGCTGCTTGCCGAGCACGAGTGTGCGCCGGAATCGGTGCGCGTGCCTGATCACCTGGCTGTGGTCCTGGCAGATGCCGCTCCCTCCTCGCTCCGACTCTACCTGTCCACGCAGTGGATGCGCTTGCATTCTTCCAGCACCAAGCAAGGCGACTTTCACGCCACGTACCAAGCCGCGGTGGAGGCCAAGCACGTCGAGGATGCAGCGACGCTCATCCACCTGGCTGCGATCAGCGGTGTGCGCCGACTGAGCATCTACACGTGCGAGCCACTCGGCGCGCAAGCACTGCAGCACCTCACACGGCACCTGCATTTGGCCTACAAGATCCGTGGCGTGATCCACCCGACATTGTCCCAGCAGAGCGAGCCGAGCGAGCCGAGCCCATGGAAGTACACTGAGTTGCGCCGACGCACAAGACTACGCCGGGCCGACGGAAGCGATGCATCGACCCCGAGTGCTCCTGGATCGCCGGCATCGAGCGATTCGGAAGCGGCGCCTTCTTCTCTCGACGAAACGCTCGCTTCGTCGTATACTGCCGAGACCGAACCGTTTAGCTATGACGTGTGCAGTGCGACTGTGGAGATCCGACTGGGGCTATCGTCACCCACCTTGCCATCCGACCCGTCGCTGCAAGTGGTTCTCCTATCCCACTGCGATGGCCAGGACCACTTTGCACACCTGGTTTCGACACATGTGCACGAGCGCGCACGCAGCTACCTTTCCACGGTGGTACTGAGCGACATTGCGTCGTCGTCGCGCTTCTCGGCATCACGTCTGCGCAAAGCGTGGGTGTCGAGACGCGAGCGGTTTGTTGGCGATCTCGATGTGGCGCGGCTCGACGCACATCTGCGTGGCGGAGGCTACTTGGACGAGCCCGAGCTGCTCGTCGTGCGCGGCTCACGGCCGAGCCTACGCCGGCTCTACGGCTTTCCGGCCTGGCCACTGCGGATCACCGACCTGTTCTACGACGAGACGCTGCAACCGCATGCGCGCTATGCGACACACGACTTTGTAGCCGCACTGCGCAAGCTCGCGCGTGCCGAACAGCGGCATGGCAAGTAGAAGAATGCAGTGCCACATGCTTGCGTGTTAGAGCCAGCGTCATCTGTGGGGGTTTGTGGGTCTGGATCGCCCGATGAAGCTGCATTCCTGATGATGGGACCCGATTGGGAGGGGGAAGGCGTCGGAAGGCGGAGCGACACGTTGGGACATTTTTGAGACGTAGGTGAGTTGCTTGGCGATCGCAGTGGAATGCTGGGCGCGTCTCTGCAGCTGCACCTCGAAAATCGCCAGGAAAGAAAAGGAAAAGCAGGAACACAACTTGCAGCTCTTGCTTCGGCTCTCTCCGCCCCCGTCTCTTCACGCCCATAGCGAGTTGCCAGCTCGGAGGGATCGGGGATAATGCAGGACTGGCAAGGCAGCTTCGGAACTCGGACGCAACGGATGCACGTACGGCTCAGCTAAGCTCGGCAGACGCTGCGACATTGAGTAAGCGCTTCAACCCACGCCCTGTTGACCGGCAGACCCTGCTTTCTGTGTATTCCGATGGAAATTCGCCAGTCCAGTCTGCGGGCGTCGTTTGGCGTCGACAAACAACCTTGCACAAAGCAAAGCAAAGCACAGCAAAGCAAAGCAAAGCATGGCAAAGCGCCGTGGCTAAGCAATGCATAGCCGCACCAACGAGCATTGTGCACAGACGATGTCGCCAGAGCGGCCCTGATCGTCGCCAACCCAGTGCGCAACATTCCAGTAGGTCTGCGACATGCCGCTCAGGAAGGGGGAAGCTTGGCGGGCGGCAGAAAAGGCTTGGCTGAGATCATCTCGCTCCCTCCACCTTTTTGGTTGCGCATCCGAAACCGGCGCCTGCCGAACTTCGCTCTTGCTGCAAAACTCCACACAGGTGCAAGTGCAAGTGCAAGTGCAGCGATGATCGATGCAGTCGAATGCGTTCGGCACCACCACCACCGGCCAGTACAACAAACGATGGACCGTGCGGATCGGAAGCCCGCTTGTCTAAGCCTGCATTTTTAGTTCGGCACTATCCAACAGCCCAGACCCTTTGCAAGTGTCTCGAAACGAAAAGAAAAAGATGCCCCGTGCCGACTCTCCCCCGCACATTTTTCCTTTTGTACCTTTTTTCGCCCCTTCCTGACAGCCAACAAACGACTTTTTCATGCGAGCTGCGTGCTGCGAGCTGGACGACTCGTGACCTCCTTCCTCCCTTTTGGGCTGCCGCATCCATTGAAGCCGCAGTCCGCTCCAGGCTTCCGCGCCGCTAGGCCACTGCGAGTTGCAAGGCAGGCGGGACAGCTGACACCGCCCCCCCTTGGGAGACAATAGTCCATTTTGGCTTCCATCCGTGCCAGTGTCGCTCGCACCCCTTGCCGCTGGCCTCCCTAGTCGAGCGAAGAGCATGGTGACGGCGACGAGGGTTGGGCTACCGTAGAACCATGCGGTCGACTTTGGTCAGCAACCTCACCATGTGCAAAACGTGGATGCACATTACGGAAGACTTTCCGACATGGCGGAGACCAGCTCGAATGCCAAGCCGCCATGCAACTGGTGCAGATGCACGATGATGAACACCAGGCGCAGCACTCGCACCAGCCGTCGTGCCGACGTTCTTGGCCGCGAAGCCAAATCCTCGAGACTCTCGTCCAACCTCGTGATGCCTTCTGCTGAGAATGAGTCCAGACTCGAGTGCGAAGAGCCGGCACACGGGCACGCAGGCACACAGGCATGTCGATCTTGAGGTCCGCATCGCAAGCCGCCTTGCGAGAGGGCCAGAGCCGCTGCCAAGGTTCCATGCCCGGCCGAACGTCCGTGCAACCGAGGTCTCACGCCGTGCATGCCCAACTGGACAGATGCCGCTCCCACGGCTGCTCATCCCCCCTCCCCAGCTCCTTGCTCCCTCCGGCCCTCCACCACATCGCTGCCGACTGTGGCCACCGCCAGGCCAGGAATGCCAGACTTTCGCAATCCTCCCGTTGGTCGTTCGCTGAGGCTGTGCCCCCCTCCTTAGCTTTGCAACTGTGAGACGTGCGACCACCGATCCTGCCTCGAGACATTGCGCCATGCCGACCGTCAGTCCCTGGCAGTTGGGCGTGTGGCCCCCGCTTCGGAGCCAACGATTCTCCGGCTGCCACTCCCATGCCCGTGCAGCTGCGATCGGAACGAGCTCTCCTCCTGCCCCTCACCTTCTCGGACCCAATATAAACCAAATCCTCGTCGTTTGACCTTCTACTCCTCTCCAACTCATCCGCGTCCGAACGTTGCAGTCACTCCACCACCCCACCATCCTTACTTTCTCCTTTTCCATCTCTCTCCACTCGTGCACAATGAAGTTCCTTGCTGCTCTCACTGTCGCTCTTTCCGCCACCGCCGGCGTCCTCGCCCAGAACAACGGCGGCGAGAATGCCACCGCCTTCGCCGAGGGTCTGCTCAACGCTCTGCGCGCCAACAACCTCTCCGCGCTCGCTGATGCCGTCGGCAACAACTCGCAGCAGCTCCTCGGCGCGCTCCAGGGCGGCAACAAGACCGTCCTCGCCCCTTCCAACCAGGCCTTCGCCAGCCTCGGCAACGACGTCTCCACCGAGGCTCTCGTCGCTACCATCGCCTACCACGGTAAGTCTCCGCTCGCCGGCGTAACCGACTCTTTTCCTGCCTCACGAAACAGTGACTGACCCGCCTCCCTTCTTTTGCCGATCGATAGTCCTGAACGGCTCCATCACCGACAGCCAGATCAGCGCTGGCAACAAGACCATCGCCGCGTCGGCGCTCAACATGGCACCCTACGTCAACCTGCCTCGCAACCGCAGCCAGGTTGTCGTGCTCTCCAAGCAGCAGGGCAACAACACCAACTACGTCCAGCTCGCCTCGGGCAACGTCTCGTTTGCGCTTACCATGGACGGTCCTCAGTACCAGAACATCCGCGTGCAGCCCATCGAGCAGGTGCTCACCATCCCCTCCAACACCTCGGGTGTTGCTGGTCAGCTTGGTGCCTCGTCGCTCGCCGAGGCTCTTCAGAGCGCCAACCTGGTTGAGGCTCTCGACCAGTCGATCGTCACCGTCTTTGCCCCGACCAACGCAGCGTTCCAGGAGGCCCAGTCTGCTCTGCAGGGTGCCACGATGGAGCAGACCGCCGCTGTTCTGCTCAACCACGTGGTCAACGGCACGGTGGTCTACTCGACCGCTCTCGGGAATACGCCCTCGGCCATCTCGGGCTCGGGCAACGAGCTCAAGTTCATGTCCAACTCGTCGGGCGCCTACGTCTCCTCGGGCAACATCACCGCCAAGATCGTCATGACCGACTACGTTGCTGCCAACGGTGTGGTGCACGTCATCGACCGCGTGCTCGCCAACACCACCCAGAACACCCAGGCTGCCGCCTCGGCCTTCAGCTCTGCCACCGCCGCTGCTGCCACCCAGACCGCCGCCCCTGGTGTCGGCTCCAACGGCTCTGGTTCCGGCTCGGGCTCCGGTTCCGGCTCCGGCGGCTCGGGCAACGGCGCCAACACGCTCAAGATGTCCACGGGCGCTGCCGCCGTCGCCGCCCTCCTCGGCTCCGGCTTCTGGCTCCTTGCCTAAGCTTGCCCCCTCTGGGTCTTTCTTTGATACCTATGCCACTTCCACCCATCCTCCTCTATGCCTTTTTTCCTTACTTTGAAATGCAAAGCCACACGGTCTTCCGAGGGTTCTTTTCTGTTTCTCGCCGATTCCATCCTGGTGGATGTTGTGTGTGCATGTTCTGCTAGTCTCCAATGGCGCAGCGACGGAGGGCAAGAAGGCATTGTGGAGTAATGTCGCCAGCGATGTCCGCGGCGATGACTTTGATGGTGTGATTCCTTGACGTGCGGCTGTTTTTATCTCCGAGCCGCGTGTGCGTCGAGCTCCATTTCCACAGGAATTGCGGGGTATAAAGCGCCATCCCCTCCCACCATCCATCACGCACGCCGCTGCTACTGCAACAATGACCGCCGGATCCGACTCCAAGCTGCTGCTGTACACCGCCAAGGTGTGTCCCTACGCCGCGCGCGCCGAGCTGGCGCTCGAGCTCGCCGGGCTGGACTACGACGTGTTCGAGGTGGACCTGATGAACAAGCCCAGCTGGTACGCCGACAAGATCAATGCCGCCAGCAAAGGTGAGCCATGGACCCCCCTTGCCCCGACTTCACCTCGGTTCTTTTCACTAACATCTCTGTTCTGCTGTGACTCAAAGTTCCCGTATTGGTCTCGACGCGCGACAATGTCGAATTCAAGCTGCCCGAATCGCTCGTGATCGTCGAGTACATCCACGATCTGTCGGGGCGCATCTTTGCTTCGGAAGATGCGCAGCACCGCGCCGTGTCGCGCTACATTGTGCAGAGGTACGAGCAGCTTGTGCAACCTCACTACTACGCTGCCGCCATCAACTCGCAGTCCGAATCGGTGGGTGCGCTGCTCGAGGGCCTCAAGCAGTTCAGTGCGCTGCTCGGCACGTTCGATCCCGCGACGCGCGGCGGCGCGTACATCCAGGGAGGAACGCGGTTCGCCTACGCCGACCTTGGCGTTGCACCGTTCGTGGCTCGCATTCTGTCGGTGAGCCGGGAGGGACTGCTGCCCAAGACGGATGCACCGGCCGTGCACGAGGCGTTCGCCTCCGATCCGGCACTCGCCAGGCTCAACGAGTGGTGGAGCGCAGTGCAGACCGAACCGGCCTGGAACAAGGTGTGGGACGAAACCAAGTACCTCGCCCCATTCAAGCGTCGTCTGGCCAGTCTGAACAAGTAGGCAATTCGCATTTCGATTTCGAGCCAACGAGGTGGCGGAGCTGGTTCCTAGGTCTGTGCGGCGACGATGATCTGCTTTTTGCTGCTGAGCTGCTCGACGAGGTGCTGCGACACATTGAGCTGCTTGGCCGCCACGCTGGGCGGCACGAGCGCGAGCCACTGGGTGAGTGAAAAGTCGTCGAAGCGCACCTTCTCCCCAAAGTTGGGCGCACGGAAGATCTCGACAAACTCGAGCTCCTCATCACCCACATTCTGGATGTAGTGTCCGTAACTGCCCCGCCAAACAAGACCGCTTTGTTAGTATCGACGTGTTTCGTATAGTCTGTATGGATGAAAGAGGGTTGGCAACTCACTTTGTGGGGAAGACCCAGGTGTCTCCCTGCTGGAGATCAAATGTCCTAGCGGTTGCACCGCCGGCAAACGCCGTGGCCCTCGCCTTGCCCTTGACAATGTAGCCCCACTCTGCGTTCTTGTGCCAGTGCAACTCCCTCAGTCCGCCCTTTTGGACATGCACGTATGCACTGGCGAGCGTAGGACTTGCTGCGAACCTCCTGTAGTCGGTCACCTTGACCCAGCCTCCACCGCCGGGGGCCTGGGTCTTGTTCTGCTGCGAGAGCCGATAGACGTAGGGCGATTCGACCTCTCCGGCAGGATTGGCGTCCACCTGCTTTCTCGCGTCTTGGATCGGCAGCCACTGTTCACCTTGAGCCGCAGGTACAATGTACGGGTCGGCGGCAGGCACGCTGCTGAACGCCGAGATGTTCCAGCCAAAGTTTTCGGCGAGCACGTCGCGTGGGGTGTGGGCGATCCAGTCGTCGACCGCAAACGTGGTGCCGCTGGCGTCAAAGTCGCCATCGTCAAACACCAGCAGATACTGCGCCCCCTCCGGTCCGGCTTGAAGCGTGTGAGGTACGCCACGCGGCAAGCTCCACAGATCGCCCTTGTTGGCATCGGCGACGTAGTTGCGGTCCTCCTCGTCGTTGGCCGTGATGCGGACGGTGCCGTTGAGGACGAGACCCCATTCGGCCACCCGGTGCCAGTGCAGTTCGCGATAGGCGTACGGGGCCAGCCTCTGTTCCGCGGCCGCCACCTCCTTGGACGCGGGCAGATCGGTGACGACCTGTTCACGAACCCAGCCGCCATTGAGCAGCTTGGACTTGGACAGCGAAAACGCCCACTTGAGGTTGGGCACCGTGCCGGCGTCGGTGGGAGGCGGGCTGAGGTAGTCGACGTTCTGCCGGTCGATATCGGTGTTGCTGCCGTGCAGGAAGGGTGCGCCCTTGCTGCCTCTGACAGGCTGCGGTGGCGACGATCCAAAGTTGGTGATCGCACCGTTGTCCGCAGCTGCCTGACGTTTGGACAGCGGCGAGTAGTCCGGACGAATGTGTCGAGCGATACGGTTGTGCAGTGCACTCTCCACCGCGTTGGCATAGGAGCCAGCCCGTGGTTCGAGAGCAGGTGCAACGGCAGAGCGCGCATAGGGGGCTTGCTCAAGTGGCACCACGCGCGCCCATCCGCCCGACACCATCGCCGCCACCACCATCCATACGTGAAGCTTCATCTTGTCGATCTGGGTCGTTGAAAGTGCATGTGACAATCTTCTGCACGGATCCCGGAAAGCCTGCTTTATATCCTTTACGGGCCATTAACACGCATGGAAGCGTCTCCATCGTGCGCCCATCGTGGGTATCACAACATGGCGTCCAGACTGACACCACCTCGCCTGCTCTAGCGAACGACGTTAGCGTGGATGTCGCCATTGGCGTGAGCAGGCGTGAAAGCGCAGAATGGCCAGTCTCATGCTCATCTGCGGCGGCAGCGCTCCAAAGGCCGCCGGGAGCGGCCATATGCGGCTATCTACTTGGGCACTAGCAGTTTCATCGCCACCTTACGCGAGCTCTCTCAACCACCACTTTAGGCGAGGAAGCCATGGCGAGCGTGCTTGCACAATTCGACGTGACGATGGCGAGCCGCCCGCCCCGATGTCCCTTTCTCGCCGAATGTTAGATTTGTACAGCTTCTCTGTGAGGAAGGATCTACTCGTTCTTGAAGCCGTTGAGGAGGTCGTCGTTCCAGGTGACGAAAGCGCCCTGACCACCCAGACCCTTTCCGTCCTTGTCCTTGGGCTGGTCCCTTGTGCCTCTGGTTGCGAGCGCTGCGATGGAGTAGGCGGGCTGTTGGGGCTTGAGCAGTTTGCCCTCCTTGTGCAGCGTCAAGAATCGCTCGACTTCTTGCTGCTTCATGGCCTTGCCGCCTTCGCCACGCAGGAGGGTCTGCATGTCTGTATCCACCACGCCGGGACGCAGTGCAAATACAGCCACGTTGTCCTCTTCGTTGGCGAGGGTTCTGGCAATCGCATTCATGGCCGCCTTGGAGGCGTTGTACGCTCCCCAGCCGGCGATGTTGCCCGTGGCAGCGCCGGACGAGACGAAGACGACGCTGGCGCGGCTCGACTTGCGCAGTTCGGGCAGCGCGGCACCGAGCGTGGTGACGAGTGCGACCGTGTTGACGTTGAGGATGTGCGCGAGGCTCTTTGGCTCGAGCGAGTCGATTCGCTGCGTCGCCACGATGCCTGCGTTGAGCACCACGGCATCGAGCGCACCAAACTTGTCCACTGCCGCGCGCACGGCTTTAGCGTTGACGCCCTCGTCGGTCACGTCGCCTTGGATACAGACGAGGTCCGAGGCGTGCGACGACTGGAGCGCCTCGAGCTCGGTGGGGAGCGTGCGCGAGATGGTCACGACGCGACTGGCGGGGATGGGTGCATGGCTCGCGCTGGAGCCGGACAAGAGCAGCTGCAGGATAGCCAGTCCAAGCCCGCGCGATGCGCCCGTCAAGAGAACCACAGGTTTGTCGCTCATGTTTTGATGTACGATGGACAGCAAGACAGCAGGATGTGGTGGTAGTGAGCAAAGCCGGAGGCTCCGTGCACGGCGCACATTTTTTTGGAGCGCCAAAAAGTGGAGGCCAACTCGCCGATCGTGCGCCCGATCACAACCCAGCTCTCACTTGACACTCGTGGTCGCGCCGCTGTTGCACAAGAGGTTGGCATTCATCATGGCCGCGGTGAGCGAGACCGACGACGC